AATATCTCAATTTTCCATATACTCTGGAATATCACTTTTCAGAATTCTCTCTCGAGAGTGTTTCCTTAAGAATCAGATTTTTTTTGTAAATTCTTGATTGAGGAATCTAAAATATACCTAAAGTATATTAACAAGTTTTCCTCTGTTTATACTTAATTCTAAAGCTGTTTGTTTAAGAGATTGTGCCTTGAACACAAGCCATCAGAAACTACCCATAAAACAATATTTTCTATTTAAAAAAACTTATTTCAATCTTGGAAGTCAGGGTATGTTAATAATTTATAGCTAGATTTTATAATTAAGATGTAAGAAGAATAATTTAAGAAGTTAGTAATTGCTTTTCCTTTGCTTGGAGCACTTATCTTGGTTTACATAAGCATAATAATTTTTATATCCTAATATTAATATTCATAAACCATTTAAAATAATTTTAATTTTTAATGATCTAAACTTCCAAAATTAAAAAAATAATCAGCAGATTCCACCACCTAAATATAATTATCTTCATACTTGCATATTACCTTTTAGTTCTTATCCAAAGACTGTCCTCCTCCATAGTTGCAATGCTAGCATAGACACATCCCACTTACAATAATTTTTTATTTCCATATTTTCTACAGTCTTAAGTCTCACTGTAGAGACAAATAGTATTTTATCATGTAGCTATAACATCATTTATTAATCATTTGCTTTATGGTTATATAAGCTGCTTGTAATTTATTTTCTATTGAATACGAGGCTGCTATGAGCGTCTTGATTGTTTTTGGAGGGCTTTACTATTACCAATTGTTCATGCTATATCTCTTCTGAAATTGTTTAGGAGCTGTCAGTGTCATAGCAAAAAAAGGTGATGGCATACTCCAAAGGTTTTTACTCAAGAGAGTTTAATGAAAGGACTATTTACCAGCGTGTGGGCAGGATTAAGTGTACCAAAAAGAGAAGGTGAAGTACATGGAAGCCAGCAAAAGCGAGACACCATTACAAACCCATTAAAACTGAAGTGCAAAGATAGGGAGTCTGGTAAGAGGTGGAACTGTAGACAAAGGGATGCCCAAAGACAGCTATGGAACACAGCCATTACTAGAACTGTGGTGAAGGTGGGAAAGGAGGGATAAACACTGCTCCCTCTCTCTCCTTCTGCTTTCCCATCTCCTGCCTTGCCACCTACCAGATGAACTCAACTAGAACCCAGGAAGGTGGGGGGGGGGGGGGAAGAGAGGGTGCCTGGTGATGCAGCCTATAGAGGTCAGCTTCCTGGGTCACAGAGAATGTATCTGCATGAGGAGGTGGGATGATAGACAGAAAACACTAGTACAGAAGGCCTATATTTTATTAATTCAAAAATTGAATCAGAACAATATCTACATATTTAAAATTTCAAAAGTTTCTCAGCACCTTCTGCCCCCTTTTCTGCTTTATTTTACTCCATAGCACTTGTCATGCTTTAACATATTTTATAATGTATTACTTTTTTTTTCTAACTCTCTCATAAGAAAGTAAGCTCTTTGAAGGCAGAATTTTGTTTTTTCTCCGCTGCTGTGACCTTAATATGCATTTGAATGAATGAGTATATTAAGGATGCCTAGTGAACCAAAGAAGAAATCTTCATATAGGATTCTTTAAAAATATAGATAACTGTAAAGGTAAGAGACTCACTCTGAATTTTAAAAGTTATAATATGGTTTTTTCAAAGTAAAGCCCTTGTATTTAAGCCCTTTTCAAATATTCTATAATATTCACAATAAATAAATGCACTCAAATTTAACATAACATGTAAAAATATTTCTAACAATGCATATTTACTAATATGCATTAGTAAAACGAACAGAGTGCTTTCGTATTTAAAACTAATGCCATTAATATAATGTAGTGCCAAAAATAATTAACATTAAAATAAATAAATGCTTTATGCGAGTTGATTGTCCTATAGAATGGTATATCTCTGAACTGAAAATTAAGACACATGAATCACATTTTTAATGCTATTGCTTTTCTGTGTAAGCTTAGATCTTGTTTACCTGTGTTCTTCATTTAAGGTTAAAGTTTTGAGAGACTAATGGTCCCAGCGTAAAGCAGATGTTTAATGCATATCCAGTCCCTAATATGTGCCAAACACTGTAGCAGAAGCATCACATACAAATTGTGGCAGACTGATATTAACCAATGTGTTTCCCATTTCACCCTCACCTCCACCTCACCCCCAGATACTAGAATTTAAGCTCCATAAAAACGGAGACCTTATCTTTCTTGTTCACCATTGTATCGCCAGCTGCTTCCGTAGCACATGTCACACGGTAGGTGCTCAATAACTGTTTGTTTGATGAAAGTTTGCACTCCTTGGCAGCAAAACTATATCAGGGAATTTATAGGCTATTTTGTTTATATCAGAATAGCAAATGACTTTCTGATTAAATCAATAATAATATAGTCAGTCTAATATATTGGACAAAGTGAGAGAGTGGAATGGACATATATACACTACCAAACATAATATAGATAGCTAGTGGGAAGCAGCCGCATAGCACAGGGAGATCAGCTCGGTGCTTTGTGACCACCTAGAGGGGTGGGATAAGGAGGGTGGGAGGGAGGGAGTTGCAAGAGGGAAGAGATATGGGGACATATGTATATGTATAACTGATTCACTTTGTATAACAAAGCAGAAACTAACACACGATTGTAAAGCAATTATACTCTAATAAAGATGTTAAAAAAATAAAATAAAATAAAATACATTAGGCAATAACCGAATGAGCCAATCACATTGGTGACCCCGTTTAACCCTTAAAAAGTAAAAAAATAATAACTATTACTATATATGAGTATTATTCTCACTACATTTTTATTGACATTCCTTCTACCAAACATGTGTAGATCCCTACTGTGCCCAAGGCAAGTGATGAACATAAAGGTTTAACAGAAGATGGTCTTTCCCTTCAATGAGCTTATGAGTTAACAAAGATGAGACATACTTGTATAAGAGAGACACAAGCAAGATGCTATTGGAACAGAGGAAGCTGAGTGAGATTGCCCAGCTCAGGATCCCCAGCTGTTTGTCCTCAGGCGTTGTGCTACTCCTCTTTGCAGCAACAGCTTCAGCAACATTAGAATGAGGATAACAATAGCACATACCTCATAGGGCTCTTGTGCAAATTAAATGAAATAAGGTATGTAATGTGCTTTTTAGCAAAATAGCAAACATATAGGGAGGACTCACTAAATGCCAATTGTTAGTGCTTCAGTTCCTATCAAAGTATTCTTTGACTTAATTAACTTTTATGAAGTTTATTTTATGTAAAGTCGATAAAACATTTGCTGGTATTACTTCTGATAATTGATAATTACAATCCATTCTTATTTAACGAATTAGTTTGATTGGACCAAATGTAACCTGCATCTGAACTTCACGGCATGCCTCAACAAAGAAGAAAATTATTACTCATTAATTAACATTATTGAGTAAAAAGTGATTATGTGGGAATGGGTAGCTTTCTCAAGTAACTTCTCATCCACTGAATTATGGGGAAAGCAAGGCTTTTATTAAAAATGGAGAATTGTTCATAAAACTAGGAACTTTTGCTAATCTGTGGAAATTATCTTTAACCATGAGAGTTTAGCTCATTAATCTGCATAAACGTCTATTTTGTAATACTATATTCCACTTACTTGCTTCTGGCACTATTCAAGACCAAATGCCTTCCTCTGCAAGGTAACTATGCTTCAATCTATAAAATATTGTCTTTAACCATAAATGTCTAGGTCAGAAAGCCTTATAGAGCAAAATACTGTAGGAAATATGTTGGAATAGTGTAAGAATTATATACAACTTGGATCATTTATTAGTACTTGAGCAAGATTTTTTTCCTGGGAAGTAACAGTCATGTAGGTTTTTATGTTCACAGATATAACATTTCAAGTACAAAATCAAAAGTTTGATATTTCTAATTCAGGTATTGTCACATAGATATGTAAAATCATTAAAGAGACTTACCTGGTGCATCCCATATTTCAATCTGTTTTCCACTAATAAATATTTGAGAAACAAAACCCAAAAAGTCCTAATTATTCGAGCAATTAAATTCAACATTAGAGGCTTTCTGAAAGAAGTCTGATAGTAACACAATTAGCCTGTTTTTCATCCTATACACACATGAAAATTTTGTCTCTCCATTTACCTTTATTACAGCAAGAGTATTACAAAATGTAAATATGTGTTAAAACTGCTAAAACTCTGGAACGACATTTTTAATCTAAAAAGTCAGAGCTGATTTATTTGACATCATTTGACAGAAATGGTACATCAAAAAGAAGTAAAATATTATGAGATTTTTGTTGCAAGTAGGGCTCACGTATACTTTCAAAGGAAAAGAATAGGAAAAGCGAGCATCTTTAAATGTCTTCAAGATTAATGGTAAGATACTCTGAATTGACCTCGTCACAAAATAGCAGAGGAATGTGTAACTGAATTACAGTCTTCACATACATATGCTATGGTTTTTAGAGACAGTTTTCACTTCAGCTATTTATTCAGATAGTAATATACTCCTGAAATAAATGTTTTATTTCATCATCAGATTTAAGCACACAGCTGTAGCATGTTGAATTTTTAAGAAGCAAAGTCAGTCCAGTTTCATGAGTTTGGGCTTCTCATTCCATATTTGAACTTATTTTTCCTGGGAAGGAAAAATAGTTCTAGCAGTACCTGGTATGGTGCCATAAACATAGTGGAGAATTAATAAATATTTATCACTGTTGAAGTTAGAAGAAACACTGATCTGCACTCTGCACGATTATGTTGGAATAGGACCATATTGCTTGCACAAAAGTATAAACAGTTGGTGCAGCATCTGAGTCTCAGACAATTTTTTTTAAATCATTATTTTGCAGGAGGCCTAATCTGCTGCAGAAAGGATAAAACGTTACTGATAACTATAATTAAGATGCATTAAGATACAAAGAACTGTTTAGAAAAGCAGACTCTACAGAATGCTGAGAATTCTTACTCTTTTGTGTTGTGAGCTGATTGGCCTTAGCAGCAGATCCAGAAGAGAACCTCAGCTGTAGACCTGTAGGAGAGAGGGAAGTAAGCCAAGACTGTGGGGACAGGGCCGGCCTGATGGATAGAAATCCCCCAATTTCAGCTTCTAAGGGGACCCACCAAACTTCAGTCCAGTCCAGCTTAATGTTGATAGTCATCATCTCAGATGTGTCAGGTGGGAGCATGGCACCAGAAATTAGTTATGTGGGAAATGTTCTTATCTGATGGATGACAGTTTTCTTTGTGGAGTGGAAGGGGATGTCTGGGTCATAAGAGGGCCTCAGTCAGTGGGCTGCAGAGAGGAGAACATTGGGATATGATCCAGATCCCCCAGAGAGAAGGGGCTGGCAAGACTAGTGAGGTTCCTAGGCCCAGGCAATTTGGCTGGGGTTCAGGGCTGTAATCCATTAGCAGCAAAAAATGAAGTGCAAATGCAGAACAGAGGCAAGAGTCTAGGTACACAGTAGGGCTGGAGTCAGGACCAAGGAGCTCAATATTGGTGGCCACAGAGATGTTTACACAGGCTCACTCAACAGCAGGCTTAGGGCAATAGATGAGCTCCAGACACTGTTTACTGACAGGAATGGAACTCCTGACATCCTGCCAAGCTTGAGTCTCATTTGAGTAACAACTTGATGGTGTTGTGTCTATAGGTTGATTTCATGCAGTAGCTCCTTGTTGGGCATAGCCATGCAAGGGCTGTCATTAATTTTTTTATTTTGGAATAAACTTAAATAAATCCAAAGCTATAATAAAATTGGCAACTCACTTATATACTAGAATGTCAGCTCCACAAAAGGTACCTTTGTCTTTTTGTTCACTAAAGTATGCCATGTGCCTAGATGGAACGTGGTTAGCAATCAACAGGTATTTGTCAAGTTAAAGAATAAATTAGACAAACATTAAGTGCCACACAAATGACATGAAAGCATGCCCTGAAGGCGACACTTACCTCCTATAGCCAGCCACAGGGCTGAAATTGCTGAAAATCACACTCAGAATTCCATTCTACAACTGGCTGAATTACGATGCAAGCTAAACTCCCAGCCTTGCAGGGTGTCTAATGTTAAAGTGGGGGCATTGACAAATCAAAACTACAATGAGATATCATCTCACACCAGTCAGAATGGCCATCATCAAAAAATCTAGAAACAATAAATGCTGGAGAGGGTGTGGAGAAAAGGGAACACTCTTGCACTGCTGGTGGGAATGTGAATTGGTTCAGCCACTATGGAGAACAGTGTGGAGGTTCCTTAAAAAACTACAAATAGAACTACCATATGACCCAGCAATCCCACTACTGGGCATATACCCTGAGAAAACCAAAATTCAAAAAGAGTCATGTACCAAAATGTTCATTGCAGCTCTATTTACAATAGCCCGGAGATGGAAACAACCTAAGTGCCCATCATCGGATGAATGGATAAAGAAGATGTGGCACATATATACAATGGAATATTACCAGCCATAAAAAGAAACGAAATTGAGCTATTTGTAATGAGGTGGATAGACCTAGAGTCTGTCATACAGACTGAAGTAAGTCAGAAAGAAAAAGACAAATACCGTATGCTAACACATATATATGGAATTTAAGAAAAAAAATGTCATGAAGAACCTAGGGGTAAAGCAGGAATAAAGACGCAGACCTCCTAGAGAATGGACTTGAGGTTATGGGGAGGGGGAAGGGTGAGCTGTGACAGGGCGAGAGAGAGTCATGGGCATATACACACTAACAAACGTAGTAAGGTAGATAGCTAGTGGGAAGCAGCCGCATGGCACAGGGATATTGGCTCGGTGCTTTGTGACAGCCTGGAGGGGTGGGATAGGGAGGGTGGGAGGGAGGGAGACCCAAGAGGGAAGACATATGGGAACATATGTTTATGTATGACTGATTCATTTTGTTATAAAGCAGAAACTAACACACCATTGTAAAGCAATTATACCCCAATAAAGATGTTAAAAAAATAAATAAATAAAAATTAAAAAAAAAAAAAGTGGGGGCATTGATTGGGAAGGGATGTGATCCTAAAAGTTGCAATGAGGATATGTGGGAAGACTCTGATGATGTTGGGGACACTGTGCTCCAAAATTCTGATGAGTCTTCTTTGCCAGTGGGAGCAACCTCTCCATTCCCAATGAATGGGAGAGAGGAACATATGCATAGGCCCAAAGAAGAGCAAACAGGAATCATTCTAGAAACTGAAAGTATTACCACTATATTCCCAGCACTGGAACAGTGCCTGATAAACACTGAATGCTCAATCAATATTTGCTAAGCCGATGAATGAATGAATGAATGAATGAATGAAGTAGTTGCACTCAGTTGACACATCAAGTATAGGGAAGGAGAGTGGTAAGATATGATGTTGGAAAGGCACACAGGTGTCAGCTCATGAAGAGTCTTCCTAATGTGTCAAGGTAAAGATTTCAAAATGTCTTCTGAAAGATACGGGAAATTTTTAAAATCTAAGCATGATGCCGTGATCAGAGTTGCTGACAGTTATGCACAGAATAGATTTAGAGGCACAACTGAAGGCAAGGAGTCTAGTAACAAGGGCATCACAGTAATCCAGAAATAATGAGGGTTTGAGAAAAGAAAGCAGAAATGGGGAAATAATACAGATCAATGAATTATGGAGATATTTAGGAAGTACTATGAACAAGACTTGGGAAAAATCTTTTGGGTGTGGGTCCTTGGTGAGAGACGGACACCATTTACTTTCAAAAATCTTAGGAATTTTATTGGCCATTTTGTGTCCACAATACAGTGTGAATTAGTCAGTTGTCCTAGTTGAGACTGTCTCCGAAATGGAAACTTTCACAAGGTTATTATAATCCCCAATCGTACCATGTCTTCTCTGGTTTCCTACCAGTGGCAAGTCCTTCCATTTCCATGGTAACCCACATAATCAAGGCAAAAGAAAGAAAAGTTTCTGGAGTTTATATTTTCGGGGATCTTCCTTCATTCTTTGGTCCTTAACACCAAATTTAACTTATTCTGAAGAAATAACATGTTAACTAAATATTACCAATGGGGAAAAATTTTTTTCTGTACCTTTTCCAATCTATATTCTTCTTCAAAGGAAGCTGTAGTTGGACCCAAACAGAGATACTTACAGACCTTAATAATGTCCCTAAGAATGGCAGGCTGGGATATACAAAAGCAACAGGAAGGGAGGATGGACACCCAACATTATGCCACCTTGAAGTGATGATCTCTGATAGCAAAGACAACTGGGGAAGGGAAAAATTAAAAGTTTTATTCTCTCCCAAGTTCACTTCAGTTGTTCTGCTCCAGTATTAGATCTTATGATCAATATCAGCCCTCTATAGCCAATTTCAGAAATCTGCAAACTTAATTTATTGATACTCCTACATAGGGCTATTGATCAATAAGTTCAGGATGGGGCCAGGAGACAACGATTTTTTAACTGACATAATATGAGCTAGAAAAAAGTATCATCATTACTTTATTCATATAAATTACTGACTTTTCTCACAAATAGGTTCGCATTAAAATGAACGGGGAAGGAGGAAGAATAAAAACTCTTCAACCTTAGTCCCAAGGCTAATCTTATATATGTTAACAGTTTCAATCCCATTTATTAAAAATTCATGTTAAGTGAGGTTGAAACAACGGGGGTATAAGGCATCAGGTGGCATCATCAAGCAGATGTAGGCCACATCCATTAAAAGCAGACAGGTCTGTCCAGCAGTAAACTGGACCACGCACATGGCATTTCTTCCATATGCCCTATTTCCTATTGCCTTATCTTTCTTGCTGATTCCTATTATTTGGATCTCATTTTGGGTTTCTAGTGTTTTTTCTTTTTGACTCTTGGCATACCTCAATAACAGAATAATTGCCTCTGAATCTACCACACAGCCACTTTCTCCTTACATTAAATTTGAGGGAACCAGCAGATTGCCAGGATAGACTGCTGTGTGCCCAGGTCTGGTGTTGCTATGGTCTGTGCAGTACACGACGTTAGGATCCATGAGTGAGCCATGGAAAATACATCAAAACTTGGCATACGATCTAAAACTGGATGTAGTGATGGTTACACAATGCATAAATTTATTAAAAACCATTGAACCATACACTTAGAAGGGGTGAATCTTATGATTCATAAATTATACCTCAGTAAAGCTTAGAAGAAAAAGTTTGGCCAGATAATAGAAGTTAGGTGGGACAAGATTGGACTGATACTGAATTCATCTGAAGAATAAGTCAATTTAGGGGGGTCTATCATCATGACAAGAGCTGACCACACAGAAATCTAGCTCATTGGAGCAAAGCATGGGATGTGTTAGTTACATCAGTTCCCAGTCATGGGAAGATTGGGAAACTATTAAAAACTCAATTATTTTTGGTGTTGCTCATTCAGTATAGTTGAAATTGGGATTCCAACACTAGGTCCCAGTTGCTGGGAAGAACATTGCAACAAGAATTTGCATCTGTCAGTTTGAGGGATGTAAACCAACTCCGTCTAGTTTAAGGACACAAAAAAATGATTTATTGCAAAGGTATGAAGTCACTCATAGAATGGAATAAAAAGCTGAACAGGGCTTCCCTGGTGGCGCAGTGGTTGAGAGTCCGCCTGCCAATGCAGGGGATGTGGGTTCGTGCCCCAGTTTGGGAAGATCCCACATGCCGCGGAGCGGCTGGGCCCGCCGCGGAGCACAGGCTCCGGACGCGCAGGCTCAGCGGCCATGGCTCACGGGCCCAGCCGCTCCGCGGCAGGAGAGGCCACAACAGTGAGAGGCCCGCATACCGCAAAAAAAAAAAAAAAAAAAAAAGCTGAACAATCAAGCACTGGGTAGAACACTACAGGAACCAGGACAATTCCAATAATCCAGTAGTCAGAATTAATGAATTGTCTCTTTGGAGAGCAGCCATCAGACTAATCATGAGCAACTGTGTTACTTTATTCAAGATTTAATTTCCAGAGAGAGATCTGACTGTCCTTGCTTATTTCAAGTGTCCATGTCTTGGCCTTAAAAGGGTGAGGTTCATTCATTGATATC